CTCACTGGAATGCTAATGGACGTCTTAGGCAAACTGAGGAACCCCTGTTGAAAGCAAATGTTGACATTAGGTGGATTTTGCTTTGAACTGGAATAAGCAAGTTCTGAGGGACTGGGAACCATTTCCCTGCCCCAGGACCCTCTAAGGCAGGGGTCCCCAACCCCTGGTCCGTGAACTGGTCCCGGTCCGGGACCTTGGGAAGACTGGGCCGTGGAGACAGATATCCCACCCCCTGGACACGCAGACACACACATAGCCCACCCACGGATGGATGCATGCCCCCCGCATGCATGCACGGACACACACATGCCCCCCGTGCATGCATGGAGGCATGCACACACCTCTGCATGCACACATGGACATACCCACCACATGCACGCCCCCTGCATATGCACAGAAATACTCCTGCATGGAAACATGCACGCACAGATGCCCCCCGATTCCCCACATGCATGCTAACCCGGTCTGTGGTGTCAAAAAGGTTGGGGAACCACTGCTCTAAGGGACATGCCTGACCCTCTTGATAAAACAGGAAGTGACATGAATGAAAGCTTTAAAAGAAAGGGACTGGATGGTTGTTTCCTTCAAAACCTGGTATTGCGTTCCTGAAACAAAATTTGGGAGGACACCTTCTGTTTGGGAAAGAGCTATGCCCTCCTAAAGGTGTGTCTGTCTCATTTTTGGAGGGAAAAATGTGAGGACTATTTCTGCTAATGAGGCTCCCCCCCTCCCCCGGCCTAAAAAAAAAGTGGTATCATGCAATCCATAGGATGCATTGTTTCTACCCTGCGGTATGCTTTTTGGGGCCCATAAAACAGGGTTTGGGGGGGGAGGAAATGCATGAGGCTCACTCATGGGCTGTAGGTTGGCCCCTCAGGGTTAGAGTGTTGGCTTAGGTAGGGCTGGAGAGATCCAGCTTCTGGTCCCTGTTCAGCCCTGAGGCCAACTGGGCGCCCTTGCGCTCGATACAGTCCCTCAGCCTGACCAACCTCACCTGAGGCGCTGGGGGAGGAAACCTCTGAAATGCTCAGCTTATACACTTGGCAGTCAAAAAGAGAAATGAGCATAAGAAGTAGATAAATAAAGACATGTCTTTCCCTCTGGACAGTTTTCATGAACTGAAAACCATGAAAAGCACGTTTCCTATTGTACATTTCCAGGGAAAAATTGATAGACACAGAATGGAGTAAAGCCTCCCTTTTTAATGCTTCCCAATGTTGTCCTATGATTATTCTCTCACCCCCAACATTTATATTATCTTAGTAAATATGCAAGAGGAGGGGGGAAGTATTTGCTATGGTCATTGGCTGCCTCATGCAAACTGTCCTACAGAGGAAGCAGCCTTTGGCAAAAGGAGGTCACAGCTGTTGAAGAAGATGCAGAGTCCAGGAAGGAGTTTCAAGTACTGCCCAGTTATTTGTACCTCTTTTTTGGGAGCGGGAAGTAACTGAAGCATAAAGAAGTCACATTTCAAAGCCAATGATGCAATGAGCGGGAACATTATAATTTGAGTTACTTTTCAGTGTTGCTTTTAGGATCCTTTCAGAGGCAGTTCGAATGGATATTTAAAAGCCTGTCCTTTTAATGCCATTCTTCCTCCACCCCACCCCTAATCGTAAGTTGTATTCTCCCCGCCTCCCTCCCACACACTTTAAGGAAAAAGTAACCTAAAAGAACATGACAAGCATTATAGTCAACTGTTAAGATAACTTTGCAGCATTAAAGATAATGAGGTTCATTTGAGGCTTTGTAGCAAATCACAACAACAAATTGTCCTCTAAAATAACTCTCTGGCCTCTGCTTGGAGCCACAGATGTCTTATGCAAGTGGAAAATCACTTCTGTTTCTCCCAGTCAGTACTGTACTATTAGATTCTTTCAACACTGACAGTCCACTGCACCCTACCATGTTCTCTCCTACACTGTTCTAGAAGGTAATGAATGCAAAAATTGAATGGAATGTGGCATAGGGACAAGAATCAGGAATCCCCCACTGTTCTGTGGTCAAGCTATACATTATAGATATCTTGTAATTAGAACAGAGAATTCCTTGTGAAGAGCTTTTCATACCTACTGTAGTTTTCAAATGAACTTCCTTTGTTTTGTGATTGGTTATCGGAGATAAGCACAGGCTTTGCTTGCAGGTAGAAGTGCACATTTATTTCAGCTTCTGTTGATAGACAATGTGTAATGTGTAGTTTGGCCCCCAGTGGCCTCCCATTTGGTTATCTCTGGTTACGTAGGAATTGTTACATTGGACATTATACAATCATGGAGCTGAGAGGGATCTCAAAGACCATGAAGTCCAATTTCCTGCCAAAATAGGAAATCCACAGCTAAATCATCTCTGACAGATGACTATTCAATCTCTGGTTAAAAACCAGTACTTAGCATTTATCCATTGGAGTTGCAGAAAATAAGCACATGGCAGCTCTTCCATTTCTGAAGATGGTTATCATACAATCTGTTAGACTATTTTTTTTCTTCAGGCCAGACAAAACGAAGTTGGCTCAGTGATCTGTGGAGCCAATGGTTATCAGTTCATTTCTCCACCATATTTTCCAGGAGAAGAGCCAGCCTGTGTAGCCTTGGGCAAGCTGCATGGTCCCAAGGTACCCACAGAAGAAGGGAATGGTAAACCATTTCTGAATACTCCATAATTAGAAAACGCCTAGAAAACATCACCATAATTGTGGATTGACTTGACAACATATAATTTTGAAAACATACCCAACTTTCTCACTGTTCTTTACCTGCCTTTTATCATCATCCTCACCATCCCCTGGACACATTCTAACTTCTCTGTATCATTCTGGACGGTATATCTGTGCTCAGGGATGCTTAGTATTACAGTGGTGTTTTCAGTTTGTTTTGCTATCCCATCACAATGTTGATTCTTGTTTAGCCTGTCGCCTAGGAGAATCCCCTTGATCCTTTTCACACATACTAAAGGTGTCCTCTTCCAGCAGAGTATGCTCAGCTCTATCCAGAAACTCTTCATCTTCCCTAGTGAGTCAAAGTATAATAGGGATGGGAATTCTAGATTTCTTGTACTACAAATCCCATAATTCTCCATTCTGGAAGTTCCACACAACAGACACTTAAGTGTGGCTCATATGGAAGAAAGGCCTCAACTGGAAGGCCTCGAGACTGAATTAAGCATAGGTCAACCTAAGCTTCCTCTTCATGCACCATAGTCTTAGTTGGGAGCTTTCTTTCCAAACAGAGAGCTAGGCTTAGCTTAGCCTCAAAGCCTTCCAGTTAAGGCTTTGCTCCCAGGTGAGCCACATTTGGCTGTCTGTCAGTCAGGTGGAAGATCCAGAATGGAGAATAATTAAATCTGTAGTCTAAGAAATCAAACAAATCCCATCTCTAGTGGAGGGGGTCACAAGCTGCTATACCTTCTCTCCTAATGGAGCAACCAGTTTGCACTTGCTGCAGGTACAGGTTTCTACATCCATTTTAGGTAGGAAGCCAAAAATATTACAGGTGTGGCAGCAGTTCCATCCATCACTCTTGTTCTATACAGGTGATGATACAATGCTTTTGGCTTGCTTCTCAAACGCTCTCAATTCAAAATACGCTTTTCTCTTACCCTGCTCACGATTATCCGTAACAATCTCACATACAAACATTGGCTCTTTAAAAGATTTATCTATTTATACTTCACTGGGTTCCTGTATAATACAATATGCCTCATAAAACAGATTTTCTTTCCAGCTATGGCCAGATAAACTATTACTAACAAAAATTAAAACTATCATTGCTCTTATGCTTGCTTCATAAGTTAATTTTCTGTTCCTGAAAGGGTCAATGTAATTCCTCTGTGGAAGAATTTTATTAAACAGCCTGGCAATTCCACTGAGATATCCTGCATTATGTGCCGTACACCACATTGGCACATGAACACTTCAGCTTGCAGTCCCATGACTACACACCTGCACGTAAGCCTCAACAAACACAGTGAATCTTTATACTAAGTAAATACCCACAGACGTTACCACAAAGAAGGCACTTTTTTCACCCTGTGATATGAATCAAGTGGTTAAGATTAAACAGAAGCAAAATGAAGAACCACCCAAATGGCAAACACAGTAAATAATAGGGAAAAAAAACATAGCTGATCTGGTTAAACTGCTGAGCCTCCTTCGTGGGCAAACAATGAGATTGTTAGGTATGAGCAAGACACTCACTTTGCAAAGTCATTTTCATCTCTGAAGTCAAAACTTTCATTTCAATGGATAGCTGCTCCTTATAATTTGTGCATTGTTTTTCATGTGTCCAGGTGGGGGAGTGCTCACACCGGCACTGGTGGGGGCGTGCATGTTTCCCCACTGCTTCGTGCATATACTCGAGAGTACACCCACGCAAGAGCGAGGGGGTGACCCGCCTTCCTCAGAGGCTGAGCTGGTCTGCGGTCTCAAAAAGGTTGGGGACTGCTGCTCTATAGGATAACTTCTTGTGCTCATTATGATTCACAAAAAGAGAGCAAGGGAAAATATCAGAAGCTGGTAAAGGTAAAAAAAAAAATGGCTTCCCTTAATTGGATCATAGTGGGATGTACCTGAACTGCAGGGCCAAATTGCTAAAAAGTATTGAAAGAAAGCAATGTTTACTCCAACTGGTTTTCTCTCCTTGTTTCAGCAGTAGTGAGAAGTGCAGCAGTAGCAAGTACTGAGAGAATGCAATGATAATCATGTGTCGTCAAGTCCATTCTGACTTATGGCAGCCCTTTTCAGGATTTTCCAAGTAAAGAGTACTCAGAAGTGGTTTACCATTCCCTTCTTCCGGGGATGCCTTGGGAGTCTGCAGCTTGCCCAAGGCCACATAGGCTGGCTCTTCTCCCAGGAAGCATAGTGGGGAATTGAAGTTCTAACCATTGGCTCTGCAGTCAGAGATCCCTAAACCACTGAGCCATCCAGCCAACATACCTGGTCCCTGTTTCCAGAAACAATGACTGATATTATTGCTATAGGCCCATAAATATTTTCAACTTGGCAGGAACGCCTGGAGTAATAAAGAAGCCTTCCATCTTGACGTGGGAAGAGAAGGAAACATCAAAAGAATATGAAGGCAGTATACCTCGTAAGCAGAAGAACAGTTTCCTGTCACCTGGTAAGAGGAGCCGAAAGGTCCATAACCGATCACCTATCTGACAACACATGGTGGAGTATGCAGGTGTCATCTCAGTTCAAAATAACGCAGAGGAAATCTATTTTTAATAATTAGCCACAGTTATAGGTCCATGCTTCCGAAAGAGTTATTTACCATGACAGTTCCATTTAAAAAACAGAACAGAACTAAGAAAATCTACTTTTCTACTTCTTAAAAGTCTTGTTTTTTTAAAAAAAATAGTGTTTGTCATTCAGAAGTACAAACATTTCAACTGCCTTTTTTTTCTTCTTCCACTATTTAATAAAGACACTCCATAACATTAAGATTTAGAATTTATATTTTAAACATCACAGCTATACGAGAAAGAAGCAAAGTTATCCCTTATTAAGTTATGATCATAAAACAACATGGTTATACAGATGAGACCTGCACTCCAAAAGGAATTAATAATAAGGATCCAATTTCTTGTTTTTAATTTTTTTATTAATATAACAAAATATAACAAAAGCAATTGAAAGATAAAATCACAACTCAAATATACAGTGTAGCCCATCACCATTGGGAATATAAACTTATATTTATATATTCTCATCAATATGTTTCATTTTAATTTATATTATGTGCCCTGTGTTTTTCCAAAAATATGATTCTTGTGTTGGGGTATAACATAATTTCTAACTAGCTATATCCAAGGTATCTTCATCATCCTCCAACCTGTTGCTGGCTGAATGTGTGTGTGTGTGTGTGTGTGTGTGTGTGTGTGTGTACAATATCTTCTAGCCCTTTATTAGAAACACAAACATTTGCAAACTTTCCTTACCCCATGGTGTTCTTCTTATCTGAATGATATGAGTGTGTTTGTGTGTTGGAAAAGCTGCCAATATTTGCTCTAAGACAGTGAATGTAAAAGAATGGAATAAATATATTGAGAGCTGTTCAAGACACCATTTTAAAGCAATTGTATTTCTTTTCCCAATTTTTCAGTTTTTTTGCTTGCTCTCCTCTGGGCTCCTGTGGACCTGGTGTGCCCTTGTCTGAAGAAAACAAGGTATCGGTTGCTTAGCACCCTACTGAAATCTCGAGACTAAGAGGTGAGGCAGCCTGGACGTGTACCCCCACAGATATATATCTGAACGGAGCCCCCTAGCTAAAGAGACAAGTGTAACCTGAAACAAAACAATGCAGTGTTGATCTGGTAGGGAGAATGGAATGGCCAGGCCAGTGGAAGGGAAAAACGGTGACCTTTGTCCCCACACCCTATTTCAGCAGAGAGTGCTAACTTATTTAATGGGCTATGTATGGGTCAAGTGAACAGAAAATTTAATGTGAATTCCAGGATTACTGTATTTTTCTGTGTTTAAAACAACACTTTTCCCTAAAATAATTAAAGGAAAAATTGAGGGTTCTTTTATACAGGGCAGTAAGGAGGGGGGAGGGATCAAAGGCCTTTGATCCCTCCTACCCCCCCCCCCATTTTGCAAAGAAAATGAAAGGGGAAAGCAATTCCTGCTTTCCACCGACATTTTCATTGCAAAACGTTTGCAACATTTTGTTTTATTTATTTTATTTACAGTATTTATTAAATTTATACCCCGCCCATCTAGACCGAAGTCTACTCTGGGTGGCTAACAATAATAGATAAAATAAAAACAATATAATAAAATAAAAAAAATCCAGCAATAGTAATATAGCTCAAGATGGGAAAAAATAAAAAAAAACAATAGTTTTATAGCTGAAGATTGGAAAAAAAATATGAATATTTGCAATGAAATGATTGAAATCTTATGAGTCAAGCTGCTTCTTCATTAGTAAGCTCCTCCATATTATTTAGTTTCATGGAAAGTATCATTGCTTGGAATTTGTTTAATTGCTTGCACTACTGAATTGATAATGCTTATAGAGCCTTTCAGTCCTATTTCTTGGGCTTGCGAGACTATTTACAGGTTCTAGAATCTCAAGAGTTTTCTCATTTATTTATTTATCTGTGCTCACAGAGGGCTGGTGTTTTCCTTAGACATTCTAGGGTTGTTGGTAATTTTTGTTGTTGCTTTGAACAGGTCATCCCAATATTGATGTTGACGCATGGAGAGGGTATTTGTTGCTGGGTATACTGGGATGCACTGGGTCCTCTCAGTAACACCTGATCATGCACAATCAGAATTGCTCGCTGAGGTCTCCCTCCCCCACACAGATTCCCCTCCCCCTTTTTCCACTCTTCTCTACCTTCTCCTCACCCACTTCACTCCCTCACTCTTCCCCTCCCTCCTTGCTTTAACCATCCGTCATATTGAAGCCTTCACATTTCAGTTGCAATGCTTTTCATTTCTTTTCTTTGTAGTTTTCGCTTTTGTGCTATGGTGCAAACATGCTAATCATTTGAAAGGAAAAAGCAGAATAGAGGAACAGCTGATGCCAATGGTTTAGGTCTGTGGCTGCAGAGCCAGACGTTGGGAGTTCAATTCCCCCACTGTGCCTCTTTGTCAGGGGCTGGACTTGATGATCCATAGGGTCCCTTCCAGCTCTGCAGTTTTAAAGTTATTATATAGTTAATTGGGAGGGGCAGTATGGCATGAGACTGGGCAGAAAAAAGAGGCCTATAAAGAAACACCATCTGAAAGAATATAAAGTGCACAGATCAACACACACGAACATAGTGCACAGGGTTCAGCATGAGCAGATTGGGCAGTGGAACATATCTGAGCAAAGAACAAAAAAAAACCACTGCTTCCCAGCAGTGGCATAAAAAGAATAATGAATACCAAAAAAGCAAGGGGTTTTCTTTGTCCACCTTTAACTCTCTTGACACTAATTTCAGCCTTGCATCACATGGATGCCGGAATGAGTTACCAATATCATGGCTTCAAGGAAAGGTGAACAAATGCTGAGTGGGGACAAGTTGCTTTCATTCACATACATATTCAAAAGTCTCTTCAAAATGAAATTCATCATAAGTTTCTGTTAACTCTTTTGTGCATATGCAATTAACTGTGGCTTTTCTAACTGTGTTTGTGCATATCTTCACTTGCATAACAGGCTGAACGTGTGATTGACTAATGATTGTAACCGGTGTGGATATCATGCGGAGGAACTTCTGTCTTCCTTTTCTCCTCACTTACACAGAAGAGACATTTCATGGCTTGCTAAGTATGAAACGGCTGTGGTTCAAAATAGGTATTGGCACAACAAATGTTGGAGAGAGAAAACGTTGGGTCCCTGTTTTGCAGGACTGAAATTAGAGGTTTAGGCTTTTGACAGAACTTTTACCAGCCTGACGTGGATGGAAAGATCATCCCGACTGCACTGAGAGACTAAAGTGCAATTTTCACATCTGCCGGGTGAGAAGCGTTGTCAAAATGTTACCTACAGGGATAAGTGATGTACGGTGACAGGAAGCAATGAAGGACACCCTGTGGAAAGGCTATTGGAAATTAAGCTCTCAGCTCACACAAAGCTTCAGTTGAGCCAAACACCTGCCTTTTTGCTCTCGTGCTATAATTCAGAATTGTCTCCATGTCTTTTCCTTCTGGCGATGACTCAAATCAGTACAGCAGGGCATCCATCTCTCTAGCAGGAAAGCCTTCTGGGAGGGCATGCTTTTCTACCTGTACAGATGAAAGACCGCTGAGGACAGCCAGGGTGCAAGTGACACTAATGATGGCCAACATTTCTCCCCCCACTTTTTTTTAAACTGGGCAAGGCATGTGAGAAACACCACAAGAGATGCTTGTATTCTGGACAGAGTATGCTATATTCGGGACTTTTTCTTTAAAAGGTGGAGGCCTGGAAAGGCCTAAAACAGGTCATAAAGGGGCAAAAATGATTATATTTGGCAACTTGGGTAGACAGGGACTCTGGGGTTCATATTTTCATTCCTCCCTAAAATTGGGTAGGCTGTTTTTGGAAGGTCTAAGGATGTGACTCTCTAAGATCTGGTGCCCTAGACTCTTAGAAGCTGCCCATAGGGCTTCTAGTTGTACCGAGCATCACCTCTAGGCCTTGTTTACTCCATAGGGTCGCTGTGCAAGACAAAAGAAAGGGGGAGGGCATCTTGAGACATGAGCTCAGTCACCCCTGAGGAAAGGCAAGATAAAATTTAGCAAAGATAATAATAAGATGTTTGTATAATTCGCTGAATACATATGTGCTGAGAAGTCTAACTAATCACAGTATCTTAAAACGTGAACAGTGTAATAAGAAATGTGCATCTTAAGTGATCCAAGTAGGCAATGGTCAAGCAACAGGTAAGTGAAGTGGATGCTCTTCCTAGGAAGAGCTGTTTAAATTAACAGAAGATTGGTGGGTTGCTGGGAAAAGTGCTTTTTCCTTAAGGGGGTATGTGGTATATTTTCTTTACTTTTTCTTTAATGGTATGAATCCCATTTGGGGACAGTGCTGGCAAATAAGTAGTTAATGTGAATTGCTTTGAACATTTTTCAAGACTATGTAATTTTGCTAACGTTTTGTTCTTATTTTAAAAATGTATTTATTGAAATAAAAGTGCATTTTATTTGTTTGCTATTTACCATCGATTCGCATCCAGTATACAGCAACTTTAATAGGGTTTTCAAGGTATGTGAGATATTTAAGGAGTGATTTTAACATGATCGCCCACTCCAATTGAGTTTCCATGGCTGAGCCAGATTTCAACCCAAGCCTCCTAAATCTTAGTCTACCATCACTTTGTCTACTACACCAGCCATTCTCAGCCTGTTTTTGACCATGGACATAGACACAATATGAAAGAAATATAGGCTGAATCAAAATAGTACAAGTCACATAATGAGCCTTATAAGGTGGTATATGAAGAATTGTTTCCAGTCTGTGGCCCCCTTTGAATGTGCTAGGGCCCCCCAGGGGGCCATATGATCTCCCACCACCACTATTGAGAGTGGGTACACTACAATGCACTGGCTCTCAACATACATGCATTTATTACTTATTATTTAACTACTCAATAAATGTGCTAGGACCCCCCACCCACCATTGAGAGTGGCTACACTATAATGCACTGGCTCTCAACATACAGGCATTTATTACTTATTATTTAACTACTCAATATTAAATAGTTAAATGTATTCTTGAAGGCTTTCACAGCCAGGATCTGATGGTTGTTGTGGGTTTTTGAGGCTCAGAGTTCCTACTTCTGTTCCTCTGAAGATGCCAGCCACAGAGACTGGTGAAACGTCAGGAAGAACAACCTTCAGAACACGGCCAAAGTGCCCGAAAAGCCCACTTTTATTTTTAAATTATTTTATTATGTATTACTATTTCTAATCATTGTGTATCTGTACTTTTGCAAAAGTACATACAATTAAATAGTTAATTTTATTTTAATTTATTTTCTCATTTTAATATTTATTACTATTTCTAATTATTGTATATCTGTACTTTTGCAAAAGTACATACAATTATGAAAAAAGAAAGGGAGGGGGGAGAAGCTGGGTCTGAAGAACTGCCCATACCAGCATCGCTCTATTGTTTCACTGAATCTCAGGGTTAAACAAAGCTAGCCCCACAACATTCCTCTTACTTCATCCACAGATGACTACAGTCATTTTAGAAGCTGCGTTTGACTTGACTTGACTTCATATCTCTGGCTGCAGCTTACCTACAACTCAAATTTCCTTTGCAGAAAGTTGAAATCTCTTTTCATGGCACAGCTTCAAATGCTGGCTCCCAGCCAGCATTCTAATTTTGACCCTCAGAGCTGAACTTTTAAAGAAACTTTTCTCTGTAAGAACTACCTGAGTGCTAAATAAATATGGTTGGAAATATATCCAACTCAGAGCTCGGAAATCATTACTTTCAAGTGACTACTTTCTATAATGAATTCCCTTTTTCAGTAATGATGACTTGGTTATGTATCATTATGACTGTAAAGTAACAAGGGTGAAGTCACAGGTTTTTTTTTGTGGTGTTAATTGTAACTGTTTTTGGGGGGAACATGGCCTCATTAAATGTTGGAGGAGGGACATCACGTGGTTTAAGCATTAGTCCATGCTGCACCTCATCCTGCTCTGCTATAGCTGAAGGACAAGGTAAACAGGATGAAAGTGTGTTTTGTACCATAGCTCATTGCCTTGAAACATTCATATTTTAAAAAGTAATATAAATGTATGGTAACTACTTTTGAGAAATGGGAAGTAAAAAGTTACTTCTCAGAACTGCAACTATAACAACTATTGAGTGGGACTTGAAAGAATGAAAGTAATTGTTTTAACTCTTAACTTTCTAAACTCTAATTCCATTTACTGTACTGCAGTGGATTTTTTTTTTAAAAAAATCACTTTTCAGCTATATGGCAAATGTTTGTGACATGCACAAGAGTGTAGTGCCCTCAAAGTGGCTAAAGTAGGGACTCGGTGCTTATTCACTTATAACATAGGAAGAACACAAATTGGACAAAGCTAGTCTGTGATATCCAGCATGTGTGTGTATGTGATGGTGGGTAAGTAGATGTCCCCCAAGTTGCTTGAGAGGGATGTTTTTTTTCTGTTCATTATTATACAATGTTATTTTGGGGGGAAAAAACATTACAAATAATTCAAAACAGGCAAGAATGACAAAATTGTCTGGTCACTTCTCACACCCATTCCAATAACAAATACTCTATTTCTTGAAAACACACCAGGCCTGAAATTCTGTTGCTTACTGTGGTGAGTCAATGCAGATTTGGTGAGTCAACTCCTTCCTAAGTGATAACAAATACTCTATTTCTTGAAAATACACCATGCCTGAAATCCTGTTGCTTACTGTGGTAAGTTGCTCCAAAGTAGGCCCATTGAATCAATGCAGATTTGGTGAGTCAACTCCTTCCTAAGTTCCATTGATTCAAATGGGTCTGCCCTTGTGATTTACTATATCAAGCAACAGGATTTCATCCAATAAGTTTATAGTGATCAGATCAATCTTATGTAACTCCAGTAGGACCCCAGGATCTGCTGAGAATCACTTCCAAGCCCCCTCCCTGTTGATTCTGAAAACTAGATAATAGCAAACACTATATCTAATATACTTAATGGACCCAGGGCTCTCCCTGTACCTGTAATGACAATAACCAAGGGTGGCTGACAATGACAATGCTCTGTTAGGTAGAGGGAGTTGCCTTAAGATAGCAGGAGACTAGGTGAAATAGTGGCCAGTTACCTATGCTTTCTCTCTGGTTCCCTCTAGTGGCCATTTGTATAATTACATGTAAACATGTATTTTGGGGTTTTTTAAAATGTCTATTTTTAATATTTTCAAATTGCAGATAAATGAAATTGTGGATACTGATCCCATGGATGTCGGGGTCCCATTGTACCTTCATATGCACCAAAGCAATTGACATATTTAAAACAAAAAAGCAAAGAAACCTCTTAGCAATTTTTTTTTGCATTGCTTCTTTAAGCCTTGAGATTCTCTTTTGCATGCTGATGCAGCCCTTCCTCTCTCTGCTCATCTCCCTGTAAACCTCCTTTGGTTGCAATCCTGCTCAGCACTCACCAGCTTAGATTTGCTCTCAACAGAGGTGACTGCAACATGGGCATCTCCCTTTGACATGCTCTGGGGGAAAGGGGAGGAGCAGTTTGTTCTTAGTTTTTTACAGTGGATGATGAATCTATCATGCATGTGTTAGTCCAGCTTGGGGTCTGCAAGACCTAATGAGCTAAAATGGAATCGGAGAGCGCTGGAGTCAGAGGGTGCTTTAATTACTATACTGTATTAATGTACTGTATTCTTATTTTGCGTAACTATGATGGGATTTTAATTTTTTGTTGTGAGTCACTTCCAATGTAGGATAAGAGGGGCATATGAATGTTTCAAAGAAAACATGGGGCAGGGATGATGGGAAGAAGTACTAAGAAGGCTTTGCTGTGTCAATTTAACAGTTCATGGTTCATTGTGCTATTTCTTATTTAGCAACCATGCTTTTTGGATGGCTGTCAAACATTCTTCTGCAATCCCAGGAAGAAGTCAATCTCAAACCTCAGAGGAAATTTCCAGAGGATGCAGAAAAGCTCTCAGTTTATTTTTAGCACATCTAAGAGCCTATATCCTGACCCAGAACCAACAGCGCTCTCTCCGGTTCCCATGTAAATGGCTGAGGTAGGGTGGCCTTGCTTTGGAAAGCAAACCATGTTTCATTTGGGAAGCACGCTTGTGAAATGTGTTTCAGGACTGAGGAGATGTCAAAGCAGGGGGTTACAAAATGATGCACGGCATGGAGAACAGAGGTGGAGGGGAGGTGGGGTCCAGGCTCTTCTGCAATACTTGTCTTTGGAGAAAAAGCATTCAGTGAAGCTGTTTGGCATGAAATTCAGGGCAAAAGGAAGGACATTCTGGGAATGTTGGCATAAATCCGTGGAATCCACTACCACAAGAAATAGCTGCAGCTCGTCTAAAAGAGTTTCACTGTCTCGCAGACTCGAAAGTGTTTCAATCTCAAGTTGTTTTAAATTCAGCTTTAAAAGAAATGTGGGAATTTGGGTCAAATTCTTTCCAAGTCAATTCTTTTGCTACCACCTGCATAGGCCAAATTCAGTTCAACTGAAGAATGGTGGGATTTTTTTTTCCCCTGCCAGTCTCGGAGAAGATAAATGCATTTCTGAGACCAGTGAGTTCTCCCGTTTTTGCATATTTCCATAATGTGCAGTTTGAAGGGTGTTGCTAACTGTTACCTTCACAGACAAACCACTATATGTAGTCATACATGGACTGGTAGCCTGCCTCTTTGTACTCTTTCCCATTGTGCTTGGTGTGTGTGTGTGTGCGTGTGCACGTGTGTGCGTGCGCGCACATATGTGGCCTTTGTGCATAAATGGCCTTTGTGAAGACACTCTGAACGAGTTTTGTGCAGAGTCAAACTGCTAAGACTACACCAAAAATTGCTTGTTGTCTCCGGCTGCAACTACACTTGCGTTGGTCCCATTTTTCAGCTGCACCAGGGCTTCTGTCCTGGCTGACCAGTGCAAGAAGGTTTCCCAGCCACTGATGGCACCAGGATTGGGTTTTGTCATGCCAGAACAATCTTCATGCCTGGCCATTGCTGTGGAGGTTACCATGGCACTGGCCAGCTGGTCATATGGTTTTAGCTGGGGGGGCAACTCTAGTGGCTCCTTTTTCCCAGCATGCCAAGTGGGCCAAGGTTTCCCTGACCCCAGTGCTATCAGTAGCTGTGGGAAGGCTTCCAGCAACAGCCCACAGGCTGGGGACAGCCCCACATCCCGCTTTAATGAGAATATTTCCATTGAAGTAGGACATGTGAAGCGGGTAGTTTCATATCTCTTTTTAGAGAACTCACCATAAACAAATACTGTGGGTTATGTGTAGGTCCTGTTGGTCTCGTGATCTCTCTGAGAAATCTTATGGGGATACAAGATTCCCCAAAGGGCTGTCTCAATGGAAAGAAATGGTCTTGACTCTTTTCATGTTATGCAACCTCAAGGAACAGATCAGATTGTTCTGCTTCCATTTTAACCACAGTTTTATATGGCGTCCAAATCTTGATCTGCGATTAGTAATCTTGTGATTATAGCTT